ATATATGACTATGGCCGCGCAGGTTGGTGCACACCTGTAATCCCAGCGGCTGAAGAGGCTGAGGCAGGAAGATTACAAGTTCATAAGCAAACCTCAGCAATTTAGCGAGGCTCCAAACAACTTAAGGAGACCCAGTGAGGGGAAAAAAAATTAAAGGGACTAGGTAAGTGGCTCAGTGGTTAAGCGTCCCTGGATTGAATTCCTGGTACAAAAAAAAAAAAAAAAAAGGACTCATACGTAAGCAGTGTTGAGAGAGTTGTCTAATAGAGTGCTTAGGGCAAGTGCTTACAGCAAGTGCCTTGCCTAGAGTAGTACTCCAAAAAATAGTTTAGAATACAAGCTTTAGAGTTGGGTAGATGGACTTGGGTTCAAATCCTGACCACAACAATTTTTAGCAGTGTGATGCTAAGCAAGTTATTTCTGTATCATTGTTTTATTTTCCAGGTATGTATATTGGTAGCTATTTCACACAAGTGTGTGCAGCACATGAAGAAAAGTAGCCCTGTAACAGGGGTCCACTCCCTGCTTTGAACCTACCCTTGCTGATCTGCCCCTGCAGCTTTTTGTTTGTTTGTTTGTCTTGTTTTTTAGTTATACGTGGGCAGAATACTTTTATTTTTTATGGGGTGCTGAGGATTGAACCCAGCGCCCGCGTGTGCTAGGTAAGCGCTCTACCGCTGAACCACAACTCTCCCCCCACACCACAGCTTATTTTAAAACTGACACGTTTTTTCACCTCTCTCTTCCCCTCCCTAACCATGGGGGAAGCAAGATTAACCTTTTTCCCCCTTCTAGGCCAAATTATCTCTCCTTGAGTTCACACACCACAGGAATGAAGGAATCCAGAAACTGGCACCAGAAGATCTAAGAAACAGCTAACTAGTAAAGTATGACTCTAGATAGTGCACAGCTTTTGAATCACCTTTTTAAAAATCCTGTTTTCTGACCCTTAGAATCACAGACTCTGGGACAGAAATACACTGTGTTTCTCCTTTGTAGCAAAATAAAAACTTTATTCCTTTTCCTCATTACTGTATTGGCATTAGGGACAAGGACCCAGTGTTTGGTAGCAGCTTAACGAATAACAACTATGATTACTACATTCAATCTCAACTAGAAGCCTGTTTTTTCTCAATGTCAGGATTAATGTTCCTATTTTGAAATATTAAAAGATGAAAATTTGCATTTCACAATCTTTAATAAATAACACATCATCTGGGCAATGACTACTAGTGGCTGCTAATGCACAAAAACAGAAACAACCTGACATTATGTGTTTCTGAATGAAAAATAAAATATTTGTACCAAAAACATAGGCTGAATCCAAGTAAGTCACTAGGTCTGATACCAAAAGTTCCCTCCTCGTCTCTATTGTCAATTCAATAGCAAGGACAAAGTTTTGAGAAAAAGGAAAATGTTTTACTGATTTTTTTTTAAAGAAAGAGAGAAAGAGAGAATTTCAATATTTATTTTTCAGTTTTGAGCATACACAACATCTTTGTTTGTATATGGTGCTGAGGACGAACCTGGGCCACACGCATGCCAGGTGAGTGTGCTACCGCTTGAGCCACATCCCCAGCCCCTGTTTTACTGATTTGCTAGCAAAGAAACACAGGGAACTCCTATCCCAGAGGCTGTGATTCTCCCCGCCATGGAGAATACAGGTTTTTTTAAGATCTTGTTTTGTTTTGTTTTGATACTGGGAGTGAATCCAGGGGCACTCAACCACTGAGCCACATCTCCTCAGCCCTATTTTATACTTAAAGGCAGGGTCTCACTAAGTTTTCTAGCATCTCACAGTTGCTGAGGCTGGCTTTGAACTTGTGATCCTCTTTCTCAGCCTCCTAAGTAGCTGAGATATCAGGCATGCACCACCATGCCTGGCAGAACAGAGTTTTTAAAAGACAAATCCAAGCTGCCCAGGCCAGCACCAAACTCGTGACCCTCCTGCCTCAGCTTCCCAATGGGTTACAGGCATGCATCTCAATGCCCAGCTCATTTGGTATGTTTTTGAAGTTCACCAATGTTGTAACATGTAACAGTAATTTACCTTTTACAAAAGGAAAAAATAAAACCCAGCTATTCTTGTAGGAGATAGATGAGGAGGACATGCAAGACAGCAGGAAACAGTTTTATTTGGCTGCAGTCAGGTTCAGAAGTCAAAGCTCTCTCTGTAATCAGTTAATTCCCCTGGCAGTTTCAGAACTTTATACCCAGTGTGTAAAGGGAGGGGCTCATAAGTTCACAGTCTGCAGAAGTTCTCTACAAAAACAGTTCTTTCTTTCACTGTTCTGGGCAAGTTAATCCTTCAAGGACAGCGCCTGAGAAGGGGAGAACTTCTCCCCTTCCTTCTCTCCTCTGGTTAGCTGTTACCAAGGACCCAATTAGTATCCTCTTCTCTTTGAAATGTAAAGATCTCTGTGAAGCTCTGGCCCAAGGCCAGAGGCCTCATTAAAGAATATGGCTGGGGTTGTAGCTAAGCAGTAGAGTGCTAGCCTAGCATGTGCGAGGCGCTGGGTTCATCCTCAGCATTACATAAAAATAAATTAAATAAAGGTATTGTGTCCAACTACACCTAAAAAATAAATATTAAAAAATAACTTTGTCTTTCTTATCTCACTTTGCATTGCAAACACACTTCCAGCTTGAAAACTTTTTACAAACTATTACAAATATTGTTACTATAATTGAGTCCATAAATGTTTGTGAAAAACTAGTAAAGGGGTGTTCAGTACCTGGAATGCTGATCTCCTTCAGGCCTGTGGCCAAATTTAATTATTGTAAAATAGAGCAAAAGGAAATAGGAAACTTAACTACACTGAACTCTTTTGCAGAGATCCTTTTGCTGATAGTCCTAAGATCAATTATAGTGATTTTCTGTGGAAGAGCAGGTGCCAATACAATGTTAAGCTACTAAAGGAATCTTCCTCCCCAGATAAATGGGGATACTTTTAGCCATAATTTCTAATTTTGTAAGGGACCGGCAAACAACGGAGGAAGAGACCACCAAGAGACCGACTCATACAACAGCAAAAGGGTGTTTATTGCAGATCCAGCGCGCTGGGGCTCCATGCTCACTCAAGAAGGGAGAGTGGCCCAGAGCCCCGAGCAGGGGTTAAGCAGTGCTTAAGTACACTTCTTGGGGAGGGTGGGGGCTTTGCATACATCAGAGCAAATCATCATGAGGCACGGGAAAATCGAACAACAACTCTCAAACATGATTAGTACATTCATTGGCGGGAACATGTCGGGCGGGGGTGATAGGTCAGTCCTAAAGCGGGGTGTACATTCAAACTGATTGGTTTAGGCCCTGAGGTGCCTACATGCTGAGCTGCACTGGGTCCAAGTTGTTAAGTAACTAGGGGGGATTCCTAGACATATCTAATGGGCAGTCCCGGGAATTGTCTTAACAGCTATAGGAATTTCAAGCTTTGAGTGTAGCTTAGAAACTTAACAATACCTGGTCCTTTACATTTTAACTCTGGCTTTGCAGCTTAGAAACTTTACAATACCTGGTTCTTTACATTTTAACTTCAGTTTCTTTTACCCTTTCATTTCCTACTCTTTTTTTCTGACTACTTTTAATCTTAAAAGTGAGAGACCATAATTATTGAGGGATTTCACATTCCATTTCTGCCAGTGGAGCATACTGCTATCTGATTACCATGAGTTTCACCTGTCCAATCTGAGCCTGGAGGAAAGAAACTATATGGTTAAGCAAACAGGGTCCCACAGTTAATAATAGCATAAGGATGATCAAGGGTCCAGCTAGGGCTGATAGGAGTGTAGTTAACCAGGGGGACTGGGCGAACCAAGACTCAAACCACCCTTGTTGAGTTTCCCTTTCTCTCTGGCGCTCTTCAAGGCGTTTTCTTAATTTACTCATGGATTCTTTTACAACTCCAGTATGGTCAGCATAAAAACAACATTCTTCCCTTAGTGCTACACAGAGGCCTCCTTCCCTCATAAAGAGGAGATCTAACCCTTGCCTGTTCTGCAAAACAACTTCAGAGAGAGAGGTTAAAGACTCCTGCAAGGCTGTGGTAGAGGTTTCTAATGTCTTCAAGTCCTGATCTATTGCTGTTTCTAATTGGGCCATTTGTTGTGACCCATGGATCATTGCAGCCGCTCCCCGTACCTACTCCTGCAGCAGCTCCTATCCCTAATAGGATGGCTAGAGTGAGGGACACTGGTTCCCGGCAGAAACGGGTTGTTTGTCCCCCTACTAGACCTTCAAATGATTCTGCATCATGATAAAGCACTCTGGGGAGTATTTGCACCATTTCATAATAGTTTACAGAGCTGTCAAACACCTGGGCTGAAATGTAAGGAGTTAATCCTGAGTCACATGCCCACCAGGTTCCTTTCTCAGGGACTAGAAAGCCCTGCGTGGTGTTGATTTCTCCTATCTGGGTACATATGTGTTGTTTACTCTTGGGTGGGGACCCTAGACATAAATCTGCCCCGGTTACTTCTGGGAGAGTTAACTTCGGATTTTCGCCCCAACTACAGGTGGAACTCTACGTCTTCCCAGCATAAGTCCCATTGACTGCTATCCCTTCATAATAGGGGGGTGCAGAGAGGCATAGCCAGCAGGATTGGGTGAGATCTGGCTGTGTGGAGTTCAGTACCATAAAGGTTCCTTTAATCAATTCCCAGGGGGAGGAGTCAGCTGTACTCCGGAATGGGGAAGTAGGCAAAGATGGAAACCAGGAGGAATGAGATGGTAGAGGGGTTCTGGTAGTTCTAGGCATGGGAGGTTTAGGATGCTTAATTCCTGGCTTGAGGGGATTGGGCCCTATTGCTGTGGAATTTTCTTCCTGTTTAAGTTGGATGGTGAACCAGAGGCCAAAGTCATAAGTGGGGCCATAAACATAGAATCGCATTCCCCAAGTATTTCCCGTAAGCCATGTTGTTCTGAGGTAGCCCCTTCCTTTGGAAGTGAAAGTTATATTGAGGGGGTTACATAGACTATTTTTTCCACAGCGAGTTTTTGACACTTGGCTAGCCAAACAGTTCTTGGGATCTATCCAGGTGTCATTTCGCCCTACCTGAATCATGCTATCTGGGGAGTTTGGTTTCCACCATGCAGCTCCCGTTTGTTCACAACCCCAAGATTTGCAATAAAAGTCACTGGGTCCTCCACAGGTTCGGGCCTGTTTGCGACTTCGGAAATCAGCTGGGCACACATAATAATCAAGACTGGCTAGTCTACACCTAAAATGGGGGTGATGACATCCATAATGCATATGGTGACCCTATGGGAAATGTTGCCCTGGCTTGGGTTCGAGCGGGATCTGTGTGGGGTCCTCTATGTCAGGGAGGTCCCAGTCAGGAAGGCCTATGGCCAGTTGACAAATGTCCGGGTGGAAAGATGGCCACCAAGTCCGTAAAGGGGCTGTATGTGAAATAGACCATACTACTTGTCCAGCAGTTGCCACTGTTGCTGAACAGGCTGATGGGGATTAGAACTGCTGGTGGTCAGGGGAAGAATCCATAGCCTACCCACACGACGGACATGCAACTTGAGAGGGTTACCAGTCTGTTCCAGTTTCCAGCCTGAGTCTGGACAGGGCGCAGGCTTGAGATGGGAGGCATGGATCCAGGGAGCGATCCCATCCACTTTCACCGCTGTAGGCGTTATAAGCAACACCTGGTATGGTCCTTTCCAGGGGGTTCCAGGGATGACACCTGATGCCATCTCACGTAGATGAAGTCTCCCACTTGATATCGATGTGGGGTTCCCTCGTCTCCAGGCTGATAGGCAGTGGCCAACTGTTTCCACAGGTACCGCTGGATTTGTTCAAGGGCTTTAAGTCTGTTAAGCAAGGGGGTGTGAAAGGAATCATTAAGTCTCAGAGTTGGGGTTAGGTCCCTTACTGGAGGAGGGGAACTACAGAGAATCTCATAAGGGGTAAGGTTACATAAAGAGGTGGAGGGGGTATTTCTTGCACGAAACAGTGCATAAGGTAGGAGCATAGTCCAGTCTTTTATGGCGGTCTCCAAGCTTAATTTCGTTAAAGTCTCTTTGATGGTTCTATTCTTCCTTTCTACCTGTCCTGAGCTCTGGGGTCTATAAGCACAATGTAACTTCCAATTAATCCCCACGGTCCTGGCCAACCCCTGACTTACCTGGGCCATGAACGCCGGTCCATTATCGGACCCTATTACATTAGGCAAGCTGAACCTTGGAAAAATGTCCTCTAGGATCTTTTTGACCACCACCTGAGCCATTTCTTTCTTCATGGGGAAGGCTTCGACCCATCCTGAAAAAGTATCTACAAAGACTAGGAGATACTTAAGTCCATACCTTGCTGGCTTAATTTCAGTAAAGTCCACTTCCCAGAATTGTCCGAGTCTGGTTTCTCGTAAGTGCTTCCCTGCAGGAAGCTTGGATGGGTAGGCATTAACTAATTGACAGACTTGACAAGCTCTAGTTGCCTGCTCAGCTATTTCTTTCCTCTGTGAGTCAGTCAACAATAAGTCCTTTCTTTGGTCCTTTAAGAGTGCCTGTAACTTCTTTGAGCCTAAATGGGTGAGCTTGTGTATGTCTTTGACGTAAAGTTGGGCTTTTTGAAATTGTAAACTTGGCTCTGTAGGGTCCCAGAGTTCTGTATCTGTGTCTCCAGATGATAAGTTGCCTGAATGTTCCTGTGCAGCCAAGTCTCCTGGTTGTTGTTCCCCCGGCGTAGAAACAGTTAACAGGGTCACTCCGTTTAGGGCTGCCAACTTAGCTTCCTCATCTGCTTGTCTGTTTCCAACTGCCACTGGGTCGTTCCCCTTCTGGTGCCCCTGACAGTGCACTATAGCTAGTTCTTTAGGGCCTTTTACTGCCGAGAGAAGGTGGAGGATCTCATTTTTGTTCCTTATTTCCTTCCCGGCGGAGGTTAATAGCCCCCTTTGCTTATAAATAGCCCCGTGTACATGAGCAGTGGCAAATGCATAGCGACTGTCAGTGTATATGGTGGCCCTTTTGCCTGTTGCTAGTTCCAGTGCTTTCGTAAGGGCAATTAGTTCTGCTTTTTGAGGTGATATCCCTTCTAGGAGACCAGAGGACCAGATGACATTAGTTTTGCTAACTACTGCTGCTGCTCCAGCCCGCCGCATACAGTCTTGAAGGAAGCTGCTCCCTTTCGTGAACCATACGACCTCAGGGCGAGGCAGTGGCTGATCCTTTAAGTCTCCTCTTACACTGATCCTTTAAGTCTCGTACCAGTATGTGTTGACAATCATGAGCGACGGGTCCTGATGATTCTTCTGGCAGCAGTGTAGCCGGGTTGAGTGGAATAGGGGGTCCCAGCATTATTCTGTCTTTGTCAAGCAAGAGGCTCTGGTAGTGGGTTATCTGGAGTTTGATAGCCACCTGTCTGGAGGCTGACTGATGATGCTCTCCAGGGCATGGGGGGCTATAATGGTCAGCTTCTGTCCCAACGTTAATTTATCAGCATCTTTTATTAGAAGGGCTGCCGCTGCTATAGCCCTTAGGCAATGGGGCCACCCGCTAGCCACTGGGTCCAGTTTTTTTGATAAGTATGCTACCGGCCTTTTCCAAGGTCCCAAAGTCTGAGTGAGCACTCCCCGTGCTATTTCTTTCTTTTCCTCGATGTAGAGAGTGAAGGGTTTTTCTACATCTGGGAGTGCTAAGGCCGGAGCAGATAGCAACGCCTTTTTGATATTATCAAAAGCTTGTTGGTGTTCAGGGGTCCATTGGAACTGGGCATCCCCCTTTATCAGCAGGTATAAAGGGGCAGCCAGAGATGCAAACCCAGGAATCCATAACCTGCAAAAGCTGGCAGTCCCAAGAAACTCTCTGAGTTGTCTCTTATTAGATGGGGGCGGTATCTGCACAATGGTTCATTTTCTGGGCTCAGTGAGCCATCATCTGCCACCCCTAAGAGAATAACCCAGGAAGATTACTTCTTGCTGGCAAATTTGGGCCTTTTTGGCAGAAGCCCTATATCCAAGCTGAGCAAGCTCATATAATAGTGCTTGGGTCCCAGACTCACAGTTCTCCTTGGTGTTGGCTGCCAGTAGCAGATCATCCACATATTGGAGTAGGGTGACTTCAGGGTGTGCAGTTCTGAAGTCGTTGAGGTCCCTGTGGAGGGCTTCATCAAAGAGAGTGGGAGAGTTTTTGAACCCCTGTGGGAGTCTAGTCCAGGTTAGTTGGCCAGATGTTCCTGTTTCTGGGTCTATCCACTCGAACACAAACAACAATTGACTGTCCTTATGCAGGGGCAAGCAGAAGAAAGCATCTTTTAAGTCCAGCACAGTGTACCATTTCCTCTCCGGATTCAGAGTGCTAAGCAAATTATACGGATTTGGTACCGTGGGGTGAATGTCCTGCACTCTGTTGTTGATCTCTCTTAGGTCTTGGACAGGACAGTAGTCTCCAGTTCCTGGTTTTCTTACTGGTAGCAGGGGGGTATTCCAGGCCGATTGACAGGGCCTTAGGACCCCAAGAGCCAGGTATTTCTGAATATGGGGCCTTATCCCATCCCTAGCTTCTTTGCTTAGAGGATATTGTTTAACACTGATTGGAGAGGCAGAGGCTTTTAATTCTACTACTATTGGAGGTTGTTTAATGGCTAGATCTAACCCAGAAGTTTCTGCCCAGGCATCAGGATAATCTTTTATCCATTTCTGGGGTAGTTTGCCTGTTGGATCAGTCCCAGGGGGCGTGAAGAGTTGATGTTCATCTTCTACTGACATAGTCAAAGCCATGACTATGGGAGATTTTACTGAAGGATTTAGAAACTCCACTTGGGGACCATCAGGGTTAAAGGTTATTTTAGCCCAGAGTTTGGTGAGCAGATCCCTGCCCATTAATGGGGCCGGGCATTCTGGGATTACTAGGAAAGAGTGATGGACTCTTCCCTTTCCTAGGTCCATAGTCCTCTTTGTTGTCCAAGCCTGATATCTACTGCCATTAGCCCCTTGAACTAAGGACCTTTTATTTGATAGGGGGCCCAGTGGGGTTTTAAGGGCTGAGTATACTGCTCCTGTATCTACTTCAAAGTTCACTGGGGTCCCCTCCACTTCAAATGTTACCCTGAGCTCCAGGAGGGGATCCGAGCCCCAACTTTCCTAGTCATCTTCTAGAGTCAGCATGGCAGGCTGGCGTGGCTGCTTCTTTTTGGGGCACTCTTTGGCCCAGTGTCCTTTTTCTTTACAGTAGGCACATTGATCTGAGGCCAGGGGCAGCCTTTGGCGTGGGCCCAGCTATCCCTTCCTGTCTCCCTGCTTTTTAACTTCTGGCCTATCTGCAGCTGTGACCTGGACCTTAGCCAATGCTTTAGTCTGCCTTTTCCTCCTTTCATCCTCCTTTTGTTCCCTTTCCTTCTCCCTCCTCTGTTCCCTCTCTTCCTCAGTTTCTCTCTTATAATATACTTTCTCAGCTTCTCTAACTAAATATCTTAAGGTCATATCTTACAATCCTTCTAAATGTTGTAACTTTTTCTTAATATCTAGGGCAGCCTGCCCGATAAAGGCCATTGCAACAGATGTCTTTTGGTCCTCTGCCTGAGGATCAAAGAGAGTATATCTCCTATATGCTTCCATAATTCTCTCCAGAAACATTGAGGGAGATTCATTGGGCCCCTGGATAATCTCTCTTACCTTGGCCAAATTAGTTGGCCGCCTGGCGGTGCTCGGAAACCTACTATAAGAGCCTGGCAATAAGTGGACAGATGCTCCCTACCTTCAAAGGTGTTGGGGTCCCAGTTGGGTCAGTTTAAGGGGAAGCCAGCTTCAATGATATTGGGAAGTTGGGTTGGTCCCCCATCTGGTCCAAGAATATTCTTTCTGGCTTCCAGGAGGATTCTCTCCCATTCCTCTGTTGTGAAGAGAGTCCCCAGGAGTTGTTGGCAGTCATCCCAAGTGGGCTGGTGTGAGAACATCAGCGACTCAACTAACCCTGTGAGTCAGATGGAGTCCTCAGAAAAAGGGGGATTGTTATTTTTTTCTAGTTATATAGATCTGAGGAGGAGAAAGGCCAGTATTGGTAAGCTTGCATCTCCCCCCTGTGGCCATCATCTATTGTGGGCCCATAGGGACAAAGAGGGAGCATCACAGGGGCTTCCAAGTTTTCCATTATTCGCCGCTGGCAGGTTCCTTTAGCTGGTCCAGTTTCCTTCAGTGGGGGAGGGGCTGCTGCTGCTACCGCGGGGAAGTCCCCGGGAGGGCTTGGGTCTGGCCTAACGAGCCCTAACGGCGGAGAGGCTGGGTCAGCGGCGGGAGGATTATCTGGAACGGGGAGGATTATCTGGAACGGGTTGTGGGTTGGGGAGCGTGGGTAGAGGATGAGGAGGGGGAGGGGAGTCCAGTAGAGTTAAATCTTGTGACTCAGGAAGAATGGAGGGAGAAGGGGGAGGAGAGCCAGAGAGGCAAGAGACGGAAGGAGCCAAAGGTTTGAGTGACAGTATTGTGGGGCAAGGGGTTGGAATGGGGGCTGGAACAAGGAAGGGATTCACCCATGTGGGAGGAGATTCGCAGAGATCCTGTCAAGTTAAGATATATGGCTGTTGATCTGGATGGTTATGTGGCCCCAGCTGAAAAACAATATCTCTGACTTTGCGGATTAGAGGGAGGTAGAAGTATCCTTCTGGGGGCCATTCAACTCCAAGAGTGGGCCATTCTGAAGTACAGAGAGTCTGCCAGGTCCGGTGTTTCACTGAAAAAGATTCTGGGCCCTTGAGTGGACATCAGTCCAGTGATCAAGGGTCAGGGACAGAGGCGTAGAATGGCTTTGTCCCATAATGGGTGTTAGATAGTGACAACACAAACGCGACACAGACAAAGAAAAATAGAAAATGTTTAACACGAGTTCAAAAATAAAGATTAGAACTGAGTAACTGGCAAAAAAACAGATGGGTTAGACCATAAAGACAGACAGTAAACTCAACCTGAGAAAATGAGTAGCCAGCAAGACCTGACGGGTTGGCAGCAGAGTCACTGAATCTGAATCAGTGGCAAAAGTACACCTGAGTTGAGGGCACCTCCGTCCCTCCATTTCCCAAGTCCTCCAAGGCGTCCCTTGGGGATGTGGTCTATGGCTTCAGGACACATCTGTCCACCACCGCCAGGGGGAACTTACGCTCTCCGCTTGCAGCAACTCTGCCAACCCTTAAACCGAACCTGAACGAAAAGATCTGAATGATGGCAAGAAAAAAGAAAAAGGCGCCTTACTTACCCCTAGAGGAGTTCGTTGGGGTCTCTTTGTCCGGCACTGCAGGATTCCCGGCCAACGCACCAAATGTAAGGGATTGGCGAACGACGGAGAAAGAGACCACCAAGAGACCGACTCATGCAACAGCAAAAGGGGGTTTATTGCAGATCCAGCGCGCTGGGGCTCCATGCTCACTCAAGAAGGGAGCCCCGAGCAGGGGTTAAGCAGTGCTTAAGTACACTTCTTGGGGAGGGTGGGGGCTTTGCATATATCAGAGCAAATCATCATGAGGCGCGGGAAAATCGAACAACAACTCTCAAACATGATTAGTACATTCATTGGCGGGAACATGTCGGGTGGGGGTGATAGGTCAGTCCTAAAGCGGGGTGTACATTCAAACTGATTGGTTTAGGCCCTGAGGTGCCTACATGCTGAGCTGCACTGGGTCCCAATTGTTAAGTAACTAGGGGGGATCCCTACACATATCTAATGGGCAGTCCCGGGAATTGTCTTAACAGCTACAGGAATTTTGGGCTTTGAGTGTAGCTTAGAAACTTAACAATATCTGGTCCTTTACATTTTAACTCTGGCTTTGCAGCTTAGAAACTTTACAATACCTGGTTCTTTACATTTTAACTTCAGTTTCTTTTACCCTTTCAGTTTCATGTCAACATTGATAGACCCTATCAAGAGTTAGTTTGATTAATCATTTTCTCTTGACATATTTCCTGATTAGCTCTTTTTGCTTCTGTTTTCTTTTCTACAAATTGTCACATTTTGCTTTCTTGTTTACTTTGAAAGTAATTTACAGAAGACCCTAAAGTAATTTAAAGAACACCTGTGACCTCACCTGCATTTCACCGCTCATTGCTCACTACTATGTAATATCCTCACTGTCTGTTTTAGAACACTTCATAGCCTCAAGAAGAAACCTTCTTCCCTTTAGTTATTGGTCCCTGTTCTCCCTTTATTTCCTTCCCAGTCCTAATCTTTCTGTCTCTATGACTTCCCTATTCTAATTTTCAATATGAATGGAATCGGGCTGGGGATGTGGCTCAAGCGGTAGTGCACTCGCCTGGCATGCGTGCGGCCCGGGTTCGATCCTCAGCACCACATACAAACAA